TTCAACCTGAGACTACTCCATAATAAACACCCCACTTAGAGGCTGAGGGAGGAGAACATCACATCACAGCCCTGTGCCCAAAAGCATGTCCTCAGAGGCAAGACACATTGGTTTTCAAAGCTCATTGCTTTGAGGCACTCAGCATTTTTACATGCTATGGTTTAAAAATGATCAAGAAACAGTTTTGTGTTTCTACATGTAAGGTAGCAAAGGAACAGTGTCTCAAAGGAGCCACATCACCTACCTACCATCAACCTGGATGTTGGAATGTCATCCCAAACATCCCCTGTCTACTTCCCCATAAACCTGTCCTCCTCCATATTTCTTCATTTAGGGTCTTGGTTACATCATTTCCCTAACCTCTGAGCTTAGAAACCCTCCAGTGATCTTTTACTCCCACTCAATGCACCCTATCCACCCTGCCCTTTGTACAATCTTCCTCTCATCCTCTAATCATTCCTCCATCAACCCCTTCCCCTGCCTTTTACCTGAGTCTTTCTAGGACTCTTGGCCTTTCTTTTCTATTTTTTTTTAATTTTTACTTTTTAATTGAATTTTAGAGAGAGAGGGAGAGAGCAGCATCAATGTAGAAGTGAAACATGAATTGGCAACCTCCTACACGCCCCCTACTGGGGATCAAGCACACAATTGGGGCATGTGCCCTGACCAGGAATCCAACCAGCAACCTTTCAGTGCACAGGATGATGCCCAACCAACTGAGCCACAGCAGCCAGAACTTTCAGCCTTTCTTTTCTCTCCTACTTCTATTCACTACAGCCAGGCACCTCTTTCTTTGGTACAATTCTACCTTGTAACGGGGGAATATTAGTCATGGTGATAGAAAGCTTAAAGAACCATCACATGGTTTTCCCTGTATCCTTTCTCTGTGCCCTGGGACCAGGAACATTCTAGATAGATGCTGCTTTGCCAGCCTGCATGCTCAGAGTGGTATGACCAGTAGTGAATGACTTGTGTGAACAAGAAGGAGCTCTGTGTGACTGGAAGCCCCTGAGGTTTGGATCACTGTGAAAGTTAGTTGCTAATAACCCTGTTGCTAGTAACCTTTCCTGAAGGTACACTGGACCACCCAGAGTGCCCCTGAGTCTCAGAAGTAATGTTCCCATGTGACAAGGGATGCTCTGTTGTTTTACAGTGTTCAACTGAAAAGACAGTTCATGAACTTTGGAATAACCCAGCATTATGCACTGCTACTCAGGGGTGGAGTCAGAAAAAGCTAACTGCTTTTCACCTACTGCTTCAATTTTCAGAAAATTGCTCAAAGTTATTGCAAACCATTTGCATTTTTGTTGGCTTGGCAAAGGGAGTTGGCAATATCCAATAATCCCTTGTTAAAAGCCACATCACTATTTGTGTAGGGAACACAAATGTTACAGGGAGACTTCTTAGAATGCTGGCAAGAAGAAGAGGCCAAATGGGAACAGTTATTTGTAAACAAAGAGATAGGAGACCACATTGCATCAGTGTCTTTGACTATGGGACTTTTTATTACATAACTAGAGGCCCAGTGTGTGAAATCGCACCTCCTGGTGACCTGTTGTTTGGTCGTTCTGCTGTTACAGCATCACAATCACAGGCCTTTTATAATATAGATTGATTAGAACATCAAGTCCCATGTCATGTAAGCTTGGAGTGGGTTTTACTCCCTGCCTAGGAAGAAGCCATGCATATTAGTTCTACACCCCAGAGTTCTCAAACTAGTCCTGAATAGTCTCACTGGGAGTGCTTCCTGCTGCAGCTCTGCAAAGACTTTCACTGAAGAAACTCAGAGCACTATGAAAGTTAGGTCAGAAAAGTGTGTGCAGCTCTGCAGACAAAAAGGAAAAATCCAGGCTTATGGATTTGCTAGTACCAAAGAATTTATCACTTTACAAAGAAACTTGAACTCAATTCAACTGCCCCCCCCCCCCCAGCCAGATCACTCCTAACTGCCCCCTTGCTGGCCTGATCACCCTTAACTGCTTTTGTCTGCCAACCTGGTCCCCCCTAACTGCCCCACTGCTGGCCTGATCACCCCTAACTACTTCTGCCTGCCAGCCTGATCACCTCCAATTGCCTCCCCCGCTGGCCTGGGTGCCCCACGCAGCCTGTTGCTCGGTCATTTAGTTGCCCCTCACTAACCCTCTGCCAGCCTGGTCACTCCTTGCAGCCTGTTCAGTTGTCCATTCAGTTGTGACAGTTGTTTGGGCTTTTATTTAGATAGATATAATACCATATAGTGTGTATTACTATAGCATATTAGTACTTATTATACAGGTACTCTGTTACTATAGTATAGTAATATGTTGTATAATACATAGTACATGTTACTATCCATATAATATTGTAATAATATAAGAATGGTATAGTAATTACAACACAGGAGATGCCAGGGTCAGTGGTAACAATTAACATTGCATACATAGATAGCCAAAAAACACTATGTTATGACCAGAATTTCCTTTGAATAAACCCTGTTGTTTATTGAAAGTGATATTTATATTATATGAACTACATCATAAAAACAAAACATTTTTAGCATTTTCCTATTTTTTTTACAAGTACTTGAAATAAGGATTAACATTTAAACTTTTTCAAGCATATAATCATATTGATTTTAACAAATTGTAGTCCCCCATCCTTTTTAAAGAATGAATTAGTGAGTAAATAGTTTATCCCAATCAAGGTTTTACAATTTATTTTTTGTATCTAGTATGGTTTTTTTAAAAAAATATTTTTCTTGCATGCTAATATATAATTTTAAAAGATTAAGTTTTAAAATATGAATTAAGTAAATTCAGCTTACAGTCTCTATGGTAAATATGATTTGAAATTTAAATACTCCATTCAGATTGGGCCCCATCTGTAACAGCAGTTCAACATCTGGACAATTCACTGAAATAAGTAATCTCCTCACAAAATATGATCAGTCTGTCTCAGGTAGATATTCAGTTAACTGTCTTCTTATTTGTTTTCACTTTTTAACAAGTTGTGACATTCGAAGATAAATGTCTAGTCTTTTACTGAAAAAAACTTTGATTTTCTCAATTGTATGGAGACAGGGTCAACTTTAAAAACTTTTATTACTTTTGTTTTAAATATGAGTAGTTATAGAAGTCTTTGGTGAGCACTGGCAGTGAGTCCCTTTTCGCTCCCTCCAGGTCCTTAGGGGTAATGAGGACATCAGGAGCTTTAGTGATTGGAATATAGTATTGTTTGTACTCACCTCACCATTAAAAAAATCACTTATAGTAGATCAATATGACAAATGAGGAAACCAGAAGATGGCGTTGAAGATTAGCAATCACAAGAGGTAGACTGGGTAATGTCTCAGAAAGTTTTATGCCGTGTCTGTTGTTTTGAACTTTTAAAAGTGGATGAGTGGAAAGTGCTGAAACTAACTAACCCTGAGTAGAGTGCACATGTATGACAGTGTGAAAAGTTCTAGTTTGCCATTTTTGTTCTTAACCATCTCCTTCTGTCTGTTGTTTGTGAGCACTTTGGGGAAAAAACCAGTTCACTGACTACAATGTAAGGCAGCATAATGGCAGCGTTCTTGACCTTGTTTACTGAAATATCCCAAGTTCCTGGAATAGTTCCTCACAAGTAGTAGTTGCTCAAAATGTATTTGTTGAATGAATGAATCTGTGACAGGATGAGAAAGGAAGAACGTGTTATGACCAGAATTTCCTTTGAGCACACCCTGTTGTTTATTACAGAGACTCTGATCATGGAAAATTTACTTGGGTGAATATATGTCATCCTGTTAATTTCTGAGAAAGTTCATTAGTGTTAGGAAAAGTGCACCTAATCTATGTCTGACTGCCTATTTTATTCTAGACTAGACTTGGTGTTTTCTTTGGGTGGGAGGCATTGACCCATCATAAGAGATTAAAAGAAAAACTGAGAAATAAGTGAAATCAAAAGCTTTTCAAAAGTTGCCAGTTGACCTGGGGTGATGGTGGTCTAAAATCATATAGAAACTGGTGATCTGACAGTTTACCTGAAATTGTTAAGTAAATAAACATGCTCAGAGTATCAAAAATGATGTGGTGAAAGTTTAGTAGACAGGTATCTAGGCAATTAATTTCAATATTAAGAACATCTTGGAAAATTAAGTAAAATTGTTCCTATTCTGGACATTTATACTCCACTACTAAGTTGCTTTCTACCCCATTGAGTTTAAAACTACATCATTTAAAAATTTTATTTATTGATTTGAGAGAGATTTGTTGTTCCACCTATTTATGCATTCATTGTAGATTCTTGTTTGTGCCGGGATGGACCTGCAACCTTAGGAATGACACTCTAACAACTGAGCAATCCAGCCAGGAAAACAACGTCATTTTAAGGTGACCTGAAGTCCAAAAGCAAATAAGCACTTGGATACTTCAAGATCCCTCTCTCAACTCTCAGTAGCCATAATTAAAACTTTGGGGGCTATGCATTGTCTATCATTTCAAACATACAGATTGTATTTGAACCACAGTTTTTAGTTCAGAGGATCTGGGCCGGTTCCTTTTTTCTTTTTAATGAGTATGCCTGTCTCTAAACACCGCAGAGGGGCAGAGTTCTCAAATGCAGCAGCAGGGCCCCCACCCACCCTCAGTTCTTCATCACGGACAATTCCTCGGTCTTTGGTTACTCTGCAAGTGAAGTCCCCTTCGCACCAGATTCCCGCTCCTATACCTTCCCACCCCCCAACCCCCACTTCCCGCCCTAACCGCACTGCTGTTGTTTAGCTGTTATTAGTTATCGACTAGCCTCCTGCATATCCTGGAGCAGAGGCGAGGTCCCCTTTTCGCGCCTTGCCCTTCGCAGGAAACACCGCCAGTGAGGGTCCTTAAGGCGAGCTCTCTGACTCCTTGGCCTGCGCGGGGCGGGGTCCGAGGGCTCCGGAGTCCCCAGCCCGGTCGCGGCCGTGCCCGGCTCTCTGACTCGGGGATCCCTCCCAGCCCTGCCGCTGGCTCGCAGCGCCCCCTCCCCGCCCCAGCGGGAGCAATCGGCCCCGCCCTGCCCCAGGCTCCGCCCCCAGCGCGGCTTTTAAGCTCTTAAAGTTCCTCTTTCGCACCTCAGAGTCTTAGTTTCACCATTTGAACTTGGAACCCACTGCTGCCCTCGGCTCCGAGTCCGGGGCAAGGTAAGAATTGGGGTCGGGCAGGAGCACAGATATGAGGCTGGCGGGAGGAGAACCCGGAGGGAGGGGCCCGGGCTTCCCGGGACCGTCCCGAGGACAGCGCTAGGGACCCCAGCTTCCCGGACCCGGGAGAAAGCACGCTCCCCGGGAGGGAGTCCTGATGCCCACCCGTATGCGTCCGGCCCAAGGTTTTGTGCGGAGGGACCCCGGCCCACTGCCCGAGCGTCTCTGCTGGCTCTCCCTGCTCCCGTGCCCCCACTATTCTGTGGGTGACCCAGCGCGGGCCGGGGCGAGGTGCTGGCATGCGCTGGACCAAAGGGAGAAAGACTCTCAGGGCCTCAGAAGTGGTCGAGACGGGCGTCGAAGGCACAGGGCAGCAGGCTTTCCTGCGGGGGACAGTCCCTTACTTCTGAGGCTCCTTCTGCTTGTTTGCTCGTCAGGGACCCAAACTCACCGTGACCTCCAGCGCGTGTTTCCCTGGCTGGTGGTGGAGGAGGAGGAGCTCCAAATTTGGGCACCCGGGGCCTGCGCTCTGCTGCCTCAACCCTGGCCCTCCGCGGTCTCTCGTCTTCCCCACACCCGCCCTCCCCACCTCCGCCAGCCTCTCAGGCTGGGCTGACACTTCCCGGGCGCAGAGGGTATCTCCGGCTACTTGGCAGTGCTCCTCGCCAAGGGCCGGGTCACTGCTGTGTGTTGCCCCCGGGGCCCATTTGATCCTTGCTCTCTGGCGAGGGCTCAGGGGCATTCTCCGGACAGAGAGTACGGGTGCGGGAGAAGGCCAGGAGCGGGCTGCTGGGTGCTGAGCATCTGGAACTCCCCGGCGAAGGCTGGCCTTGTGCCTCATTGGCGAGTGGGGGGCACCCAGGGAGTGTGAAACGGGAATGGGCAAGAGTGGAAACTGACAAAGAGGGAGAATACTAGCTTCAGGATGGGCAAAGAGGAGCGGGAACCTTTAGTGAGTGTGCAAACGGAGTGCCAAGAAGGGTGGCAGCTGGATTTGGGAGTGTGAGTAAAGGCTGAAGTGTGTGTAATGGGCTGTGGGGTACTTAACAGGAGTGGAGAGTCTAAAAGGTGAGGTAGGGAGAGAAACTCCGCGGAGGGCGCGCTCCTGAGGAGGCAGGACTGTGCTGGCCAAGGGGACCAGCCCAGGCAGCTGAGAGCGTGTCTTCTCTCGGGGACCTATAATGACACTGACCTCATAGCGCGCGCCTTGCTGCCTCGGAGACCCTGGGCCTCGTGGTCACTGCGCAGTGGTTTGGGATCGGTCCTCTGAGCGCAGTGCTGCGGCGCTTAGGAAGATTTTCCTCTCGCCTGCAGCGCAGAGAGTACGGAGGCAGATCCCGGGCCAGAGCAGGACCCTCGGTGCGCTGGGCATGAACCTGGAGGGCGGAGGCAGCCGAGGCGGAGAGTTCGGCATGAGCTCTGTGAGCTGTGGCAACGGGAAACTCCGCCAGTGGCTGATCGACCAGATCGACAGCGGCAAGTACCCAGGGCTGGTGTGGGAGAACGAGGAGAAGAGCATCTTCCGCATCCCCTGGAAGCACGCGGGCAAGCAGGACTACAACCGCGAGGAGGACGCCGCCCTCTTCAAGGTTAAGCACGTGGGAGCCCAGGGTCCGGATGGGGGGAGGGCCCCAGAGAGCCCGGGGTTCCTCGATGAGGCCAGTCCCTGCGGGGTGCGCCCTGGCCCACGGTTCAAAGAGGGAAAGGTAACCCATGGGGACCTCGGGAGAAGGGGTGGTCACAGCAGGGCGGGCGGCCGGGAACAACAGGTGTGGATGGCCAAAGCCCTGGGAGAAGAGAAGTTTCACCTTTTCAGTGATTTCACAAATGCGAGGGCCGGTCCGATTCTGAACGTGTGGCTTGAGCAGCACTCAGGGAGTCAGAAGGCTCCAGCGGCAGGGAAGTACCCTTACCCGGAGGCTCAGTCAGGGAAGTCTGCCTTCCCAGGACAGTAGCTTGAGTGTTCTTGGCTGCATTTTTGTGGGTTTCTCTGTTTCCATCAGAGCTGCTTTCTGTACTCCTGGGTCTTTTCTTGAATCCTCTAATCAACTTATGTTTCTCTCTGTCTCTCTGTCTTTGTGAGCGCCCGTGGGTGTGCTGGTCAGTCTGTCCTCCCCCTTCCCCTCTTCCCCCCCCCCTTTGCCCCCCTCTGGAACTGTGTATGTGTTTCACTATGTTTTTGCTATTTGTCTCTCTCTGATTTTTTTTTCTTTATTCTTTGATTCACTCTCTCTGGCTCGGACACTCTCTGGTTCCAGCTCTCTTTGGGACCCTCCATCCCTATTTCTTCCTTTCTATTGCTCTGCCTGTTTGTCAGGCTCCCTCTTTCCAAGTCTCTCTCTCTCTCTCTCTCTCTCTCTCTCTCTCTCTCTCTCTCTCTCTCTCTCTCTCTCTCTCTCTATTGTTCTCTAGGTTTCTGTCTTTGTCTCATCCTCTTGGGTTTCTATCTTTCTCTTTCTCCTCCTCTAAATATTTCTCTTCTTCCAGGATCCTCTCTGGGTTTCCCTCTTGCTGTGTATGTGTGTGACCCTGTCAGGATTGTTTTCTCCTAGAGCAGTTACCCAGTGAGCTTTGAATTAGGGCCCAGCCCCACCACCTGTGGGCTGCACAGGTAAAGGGAACTTCCTCAGGGAATTTGCTCTCAGAATATCTCAAACTGGCTGATAGCTCACCACCAGCTCTGTCCCTAGTTCCAATCAAACCCACTGCAGAAACTGGGTGAGCAGGTCCTTTTCCAGGGATCCTCCACATCTTACCCACCTGTCACAAATACTTAGAGAATATTCCCACCACTTGTCTTGAACTCCGCAATGACTCAGACCAATGTGACAGAGCTGCATGTGGAAGACCCCTGGGTGTGTTTCTGGCCTACATTTTGAGCAACATTTTGAGTAACAGTGTGAATTTGAAGCACAGAAGCATATTTTTTCCTCTAGAATTGCAATTTCCAGATTCTTTAAAAAACAAACAAACAAAAAAACCTTGTGTTTTAACTTTTCCCCTCTTCTTCCCACCAGGCTTGGGCGCTATTTAAAGGAAAATTCCGAGAAGGCATTGACAAGCCAGACCCTCCCACATGGAAGACACGTTTACGATGTGCTTTGAACAAGAGCAATGACTTCGAGGAACTGGTTGAGAGGAGCCAGCTGGACATCTCAGACCCCTACAAAGTATACAGGATTGTTCCCGAGGGAGCCAAAAAAGGTGGGACTTCCTCCATCTGGATCACAGGATATTGGCAATCTGATATTAGCACCTTAATTTCATTCTGAAGCTCATTTTTCTATTTTTGTTTTCAATAGCTTGCCTACCACCTGCCCCATGGTCAAGCCCAGCCAGCTCATTGTCTGAGTTCTCTGGGTCACTAATTGAAGTCCTCTGGTTTTAGTGTAGGGATACTCTCTCACACTCCACGTCTATACCTGAGGGTGTGCACCTGTGTATTTTCCAATTAGGTCTATTAAGTTATGGGCCAAATTTCCAAACAAGAAAATGGAGAACTTGTTCAAAGCTTTACTTATTAGTTTTTCATGATTAATCCTTCATAGAGAGAGTCATGCATTCACTCATATATTGCCACTATTTATATTAATAAAAATGTCAACTTGTAGGGTGCACTATGTGCAGATGGGCTTCTTATTCAAATTCAGACTCCCCCTTTTTAACCCTCTGACAGTGTGTCAGAGTAAAGCCCGGGAATCTGCATTGTAACACACCATACAGGTGACCTTCTTTGCAGCACGTTTTGCTGATGGGGCTCTTTCTGTCACCAGGTGCCTTCCACACAGCAGGACCTTACAGGAATCAGTTTAATGGAATGGTCAAACAATGGCCCAAGGGAATTGCTGGAAAGTGTCTAATTTGTCAACAGCGTTGCACATTCTAGGAATTAAATCCTCAGATATCTTTTCTAAGATTTGATGTTTAGTTATGTCAGTTCCCTTTTTTTACATTGTGCCATTTCCCTTTTGCAAAAACATACAGGAGCCAAGCAGATTACCCTAGAAGACTCACAGATGACCATGAGCCACCCTTATACCATGCCGACTCCTTACACCTCACTCCCAGCTCAGGTACCGTGGAGGTGCAGGGCTTCTGGAAGGGAAGGCTGGGGAAAACACACAGACTAAAACAGCATAAGCTTGTTTCTGTTATCAGTCAAACAGCTAACCAAAATCCCTGGGCATTGATTGAATGCCTCACTTTCCACAGTGAGCATTCAGGGTTGGTTGGGAGGAGGGGTGAGCTGCATGTGCCTGCCTTTTGGTGTACTACTGATTCTGAAATCTTCTGGGAAACAGACCTATTGTGGAAGTTGACGATTTTGGAAGTAGTACTTTATATCATGTGAAACCACGGGGCAGCTGATCTCTTTAGACATTTCTGATGTGAATTACAGCTCTGTGGGGAAGAGATGGCAAATTTCCTTACGGGAATTTTGGTGCTAGGTTTAACCATATGATAGAGCTTTACATATGTCATTCCTTACTCACTGTCTCCATTGTGCTATCTTGATTTTTTTTTATGTTAGTTTTTACCTAGTGTGATGAGCCATTCACTCCATTTTTTTTCAGATGAAAAAAATGATTTGGCTGTCAGCCAGAGAAAAGATTGCCTGAGGAGTTTGGGGGGCTATGAAAGAATCTGCTTCCCTCTCCAATGCCCAGGAACTGTTCTTTGCTGATCTGGTTGCCTTTATCTCTTTAGCAGGTCCATAACTACATGATGCCTCCTCATGACCGAAGCTGGAGGGAATACGTCCCTGACCAGCCCCACCCTGACATCCCTTATCAATGTCCTGTGACCTTTGGACCCCGAAGTCACCACTGGCAAGGCCCAGCTTGTGAAAATGGTGAGGACCGTGCTGGGGCAGGTTGCTGAGGCTGCCACTGACCCAGCAGAGTGCACCTGGTGAACGGGCCCTGGTCTCTCCTACTCTGTCCTTTGGGCAGACCACAACTCTCTCCCCTTATCCGATCTGCTGGGAAAGACATCACACAGTGAATGAGGGTGTTCTCTCTCCTATGGGATGATAAGGTCCTCGGAGGAAGGATGCCAAATGTTATAGATGCCTGGCCTACTGTGTGCCAGGATCTATACTTACAACTACCTTATTTGAGATCTTATTTAAACATCATGGAGATAACTTCAGGTAGCTAAAAACTGCTCCATTTTTTATAGAGGCAAGCTCACGGAATGTACTCTATGAAAGTGAAGGGCTGGGATTCAGTTTCAGATGTCAAACTGATTAGCTATGTTTTTAAAATTACCTGTTCAAAAGGTTAATATTTTTTACCTTGCTAAATTATCTTAAGCTTTACTTTTAATCTTTAGGGAAAAAGTAAGAGAGTGTAGATTTTAGCAGCCTTCCCTCCTGAATTATTCCTTAATATTGACCAAAGGCCACAAAATTTTGCTAGTATGTTTCTGTCTACACATCCATAAAATGGATTTATTCCAGACCTATGCAGAAAGGCAGAGTAGGCAGGCATAGCTCTACCCAGCCCCTTTCTCCACAGGGGCATCAGGAGATTATTGAGCTAGTATATTTCTCTTAAACAATGTTGTACCCATTGTAGTTGTTCTTGGGATTAGAGGTGATAATATAAAGGGAATAAATAAATAACATAAACAATCTTCACAGGGTGTGTAGTGCTGGTTTTGGATCCCAAAGGACTTTACTCATTCTAGATGAGCTGTGGTCCCATGCCTGTAGGGTCCCCAGACATCAAGATGAGTTCTCTCAGCAGAAGCACTAGTTAGTTAGGTGAAGAGAAAATTTCATGTGGTGTATTCAATACAGCAAACACAAGCTTTCAGAACTTTAAAAAAATTATTGGTTGATTTGAGAGAGAGAAAGGAAATGAGGAGACAGACAAAGAGAGAGTGAGAGAGAGAAACATTGATTTTGTTTTTCCATTTATATACATATTCATTGCCTGATTCTTGTATGTGCTCTGACCAGAAATGGAACCCACAACCTTGGTGTATTGGGATGACACTCTAATCAACTAAGCTATCTGGCCAGCACCAGTCTTTTAGGACTTTTGAGTTAATTATTTAAATAGAAATCTTGAGATGGATCAGCAGACATTCTTTTGTATATTCTGGAAAGACTTGGTCAGTCTCCATTTTTCTAGTCTGTTCAAACCTCTTGGCATATGGCATTGAAGAAACTAAGATCTGTATTTAGTAGCATGTTTACAGAAGAACTCAGAATTCCATTTTATTAGCTTGCAATAAAGACTTCAGCAAGGGTTGGTTTTCTAGATCATAGTGGATGATTAGCTAACATTAAACTGGTCTCTGGAATTCAGACCTATGTCCAGTGCATTGGGCTCTGTTGAGTTAATAACTTCAATAAGGAGACAATGCCCAGACCTATGCAGAAAGGCAGAGTAGGCAGGCATAGCTTGAAGCATTTGTTGACCTTAAATGAAGTGCACTTCTAACGGGGCTCTTTGGCGTGAGAACTCCTGTAGACCTGAGCTCACAGTTCTGCTGTTAACTTGCTGTGTGAACCGGGCTAAATCAGTTCATCTCTCTGAGTCTTAGTTTCCCTATTTATCAGTTATGGAGTGATGTGGTCAAAGGGTACAAACTCCCAATTATAAGATGAGTAAGTTGTGGGGACCTAGTGTACAGCGTGGTGACTATTTAGCAATGCTGTATGATACTGAAAGTTGCTAAAAGAGCAGATCTTAAATGTTCTCTCATCACACACACACACACATACACGTAATGGTAATTATGTGTGCTGAAGAAGGTGTTAATTAACAGAAAGAAAGGAAGAGAGAAAGAAAGAAGATAAGAAGGAAGGAAGAAAAAGAATGAAAAGAAAATGTAAAAAAAAAAAAAAAAAAAAAAAAAAAAAAAAAAAAAAGAGGAGAGGAGAGGAGAAAGAAGAAAATTACTGTGGGAGAGTTCCAAATTTCCTTCCAAAGTTGTTAAAGGCTCCTTCCTCCTTTGACTTTGGTTTTTCCCATTGGACTTCAGCTTGTCTTTGCCTTTTGGGAGAGCCAGTGGTCAGCTCCAAAGGGCCCTGAAGCCCTTCCCTCCCAGAATGAGTGCACCCCCACCAGGGGCTAATAGCCACACCTCAGGAGTGGAGGCTTTCCTATTTGTGTACAAACTCTGACTTTTATTTGCAAATACAGGTTGCCAAGTAACAGGAACCTTTTATGCTTGTGCCCCGCCTGAGTCCCAGGCCCCTGGAATCCCCATAGAGCCAAGCATAAGGTCTGCCGAAGCCTTGGCCCTCTCAGGTGAGTGTGGCTTATGGTCTGGAGGCACCCAACGGAGGCTGGTGCCTGCGGTGCTCACCTCACTTTTGGGTAGATTTGATGGGGTGGTTGGTGAACACAAACCGTGGACCCTCACTTTCCTCCAGCTGGAGCCCGGGTATGTGTGGGCACCGCTGACTCCCCACCTGTGGATGAAGAACAACAGTAGAAAAGTTAGCACCCAGAAGCCAGTTTAGGATTCTGATGCAATTCTACATGCTGGATGAGTCATCTTACATTCTCCATTAGCATCTATCTGAATTTCCTAGAATATGCAAACACACTAGTTTCCTTTACCCCTCTTCAGCTAACAGCCTCACAATGTAGTCTATCTTCTAGGAGAAAAGCACTAGGACTTCTCATCTTGAAAAGCTGATCATCCTTCCAGGTTTAGCTCCAAACAGTGTTCATATCAGCTTCTCAGGGATGATAGGTCTGGCTGCCTTGCCTTCATCACAATTGCATTCATATTGAGATGTGTCTTACAGAAAATATGGCTTAGATCTGGTTTCATTTCTAAGAGTCCTGGCACCTTGGAGATCCCACCTGTTTAGGGAAGGGACCTCAAGGTGTACTAACTGCATGTGGTGTATGCATATTTACTTTTTAGGTAATGTGTTGCATTGTTTTAAAATGAGATTTGTTTTTTATATTAAAAATGAAAAGTTTAGGTTTTTAGATTCTCCTGTGCTCCCCCTCCTGCTTCTTTAAAAATCAGTTAAATTCTCTAGGTTTTAGGGAGACGGGTTGTGGGCACCTTTCTCTCTACAAGGAAGCTGGAATTTTTGTGGTTTCATCCTTTTTGGTTCCAAAGTTCTGAATGAGGCTGCTGCCTTCTTCCTAGATGTTCCTGAATGTTGGAGGAAGGAGATTTTCCAAGCAGAAAGGCATATGTTTGTTTTTAGAAATTTTCAAAAGCTTTCTTAAGCACCTACAACTTGTGTGAATGCCTAAAGAGTAGGAAATAACAGTTATTTGCATCACTGTGACCTTGTGATTTTTGGTGACATATAATGAAATGAAAACTATCCTGCAAGTCACCTCTAATGGCCAACACCCACTCTCCTCAGAGTATGTTCTCCCAGCTCACTCTCCATCAATGTTTATAACAGCAGAAATTAAGTGGAGAATTGAGACAGTATGTGTGTTTAGACTCAAAACCTAACATTGAGGAATAGAAAGGTTTTGTGGGTTTCTGTTTTTGGAATACATAAGTCAGATTAATTAGTTAAATGCATTTATTAGACAACTGCAATTATCATTCCTTTTTAAACCCATACATTTACACAAGGGTAGCAGGTGCCTAACCACAAGTCCTCATGCTTCACTAAGTGACCCTGTGCCATCCTAGGTTGGTCCTTTCAATCTGTGGGTCATAAGTCAAAGAAGGTTCTGGAATCAACAAAATTTTATAACTGAGTTCATCTTGTTTAATGTTTTAGAAAGCACCATTGTAGAATTATTTTCAAACTTTAACATGTAGCCTAGTGGGATTTTAGCAGACTTTACTCTGAGAATATTTGTCTTATTGAATCCTTTCTTTCTACCTGAATTAATTATATTATACAAGTAGTATATATGCTGTGGGGGGAAAAAAGTAATTTAAAAATAAAAAAAATGAAAATGAAAAATACACATCACATTCCCACCACTCAGAAATCACTGTTAACTTAGTTATTAGTCTTCCTGAAACTTCAATATGTGTGTGTGTGGTGTGTGTTAACCTAATGGCATCATCGTGACATTTTAGGGTAGTTTCAGATGTGTGGATATATTTGCTTCCCCACCTAAACATCATTATACTCTTTTTGCTAGTAGAAATTATATTTGGATTTTATTTTCTCCAAAATCAAAACTGATTGTCATGCCTAAAGATGAATTTTTGTTCAGTGGTACATGGCTTAGTGTTTTAGACATCACCATTACCTCATCACACAGACAGAGAGAGAGGAAGCTCTTTACTGTGGTGTTCTCTAAAAATAGTCAAACCTATTTTTTCTAGAATTAATGAAAGATATGCTTCCCCAAACCCCCCAAAACCATGGTCACATAAATGGGGAGAATGCAGAATTAGATAATATCCAGTTGAATTGTGAGCCTTTCCTATCATCTCACTGTCTGTGAATCTCCAGGAGTTAGAAAAAGGCATGCAGATCCCAGATTTCTTAGACACTGGAACGCTTTACTTTCTATGGAGCATCTTGGGGCAGCAGTGTCCCACCAAATACTGTACTTTGTGTGGTAGTTTGGTGTCATAAGAGGTGTGCAATGCTCTTGGTCCCTTAGGACTGACCCCAAGTGTTCTGTGTTTGCAGACTGCCGACTCCACATCTGCTTGTATTACCGGGAAGTCCTGGTGAAAGAGTTGACAACGGCCAGCCCTGAAGGCTGTCGGATCTCCCACGGGCACACCTATGATGTCAGTAACCTGGACCAAGTCCTCTTCCCCTACCCAGAGGACAATGGTCAGAGGAAAAACATCGAGAAACTGCTGAGCCACCTGGAAAGAGGTGTGGTCCTCTGGATGGCCCCTGATGGGCTCTATGCCAAAAGACTATGCCAGAGCAGGATCTACTGGGACGGGCCCTTGGCATTGTGCAGTGACCGGCCCAACAAACTGGAAAGAGAGCAGACCTGCAAGCTGTTTGACACACAACAGTTTTTATCAGGTAATGCTCCTCATTATCGGTTAGAATGGAGTGCCTCACACCCGTGTGAGCCTATAGAGAAAGAATAAGGTGGTGCTGGCCTGTCTGCCACAGAGGTCAAAAACAGCAGGTCACTCACCCAGACAGAGGTCTCCTTCTGTTAATCCTGATCCTAAAATAGGTTTCTTGTTTGGTTCACACCTCACCTCTCCTTTTACCACCAGCTCCTCTCCATCAACAGAAAGAAGGATGTGAAGAGGAGGGGAATTGTTCATGGGTGTGTGGTCCAGGCTTATGGTTTGAAATTCTGGAATTCAACGAATAGTCACCTAGTAACAAGGTTCTTGGCTTATTGGCAGTATGATCTGAACAGGCACATCTGTTCTTTTAAGGTCGTAGGGAAATATAACTGAGAAGTATATTGGTGATATTCTTGGTTATGAGGTGTGTCACCTTGTGTAGATGAGACCAAGGATAGAATGCTGAACTGATTTTGAAGGGAAATTATAAGAAGGCTTTGAGCTTCTTCTACATATGTGTGTCTTAAAACATATTTTCCAGAATGAGTAAGTTTTGATTTCATGACAAATTAGCCCTGGGCTGGCTTTTGTGAAACTGTCGGCTAAGCTATTGCCAAAGTTTCAACCTAAGTGTTCATGTGGCCATCTATATGGACACTGCCCTTTGGGAGGGAGAAAGCTGCTGTAACCTGCACTAATTGCCAGTTCTTTCTCTTCCTGACCCTAACCTGTTCTTTTAAAACTGCCCCCTTCAGAAACACCTGTGTCTTGAGGTTTTCTTGTGCCCTTCTTTCCCTGAACATCCCTCTTAAGTGAGTCCATTTGCAATAAAAATGCTCTGGCACATTAACCTTTGCTCAGCTTTTTGGGTTTAACTTGCCCAAATTCGCATAGGCTCATTCAAATTCTCTTTCGGTGCTGAAACAAATATTTCCCTAGATGACTAATGCTGCCACAGAGCTGTGACAGGAAGAGGGAGCACTGTGTCAGGTTCCCTAAGGCAGCACCTCAGGTGACAAAGCCACCTGCATCTGAACACCCCTTCCTAACCAAGCTGCAGAATTGTGAGGCTTCTCTCTGTCCTGAGCCCAGGGGTAATCATGGTGGGGCTCTGAGAGTGGGGTCTGAATGTACCCACTGGGATTGGAACTCCTCCAAGACTGTGGATCCTGGTCTCTTTGGATTCAGAAGCTACCATAGGGCTAGGCTTTCGTTAAGGCCCCCAGGAAAATGGTTTTTGCTTCTCCGAGTTTCTCTTAAGAGACACCTTTTAGGAGGTAGAGGCCTCTCATTCTAACGAGACAGTAAATTTCTTTGAGTGACAGTGAACTGAGAGGTGCATGCAGTCAAGAAGTGGCAGGCATGACATGCCAGCTGTCAGCATCCTCAGCTGCAAATTCATTTGCCTAGAATTTAGTGTTTATCTGAGCAGGAATTACTCTGGTATTTTCCCTTCTTCTGTAACACAGAGCTGTGCTTTCTGTCCACAGCAAGCAAGCTCTTATCTAGAAGTGTTTACTGAGGTGCAGGGAGGAGCCTGTAGTCACAAGCTGAGTAGACCAGCTTTTGCACAATCACAGGGCGCCTTCAGGGTATCAGGCAAAAGAGGCAGGACTTCTTCAGATAACTGTACTAACGCACCATCCTAATGAGCTTGTGGAGGTGTAGTCTCAAGCCTCCATGGTGTAAATGCCTTTTATACATCTTAAGTTGGTGAGGTTTCATTTGAATTCTGGAAGAAAAAAAAACAAGCAGGAAGTCAGTCTAGTGAGTTAGCTAGAAACTCCTCTTCAGTTGAAGAGAGCAGTGGAAATCTTTACTATCTACCCATTCAGGATTTGCAGGCTGCCAGGGACAGCCCCAGAGGCACCGCCAAGGGTGTGGATCTGATAAAGATGCAACTGTGCTGTTCTACAGAAGTCATGGCAGAGACTGCCAGTGCCTTTCTTTGGCAGAAGTGACATTTGAGTCTAGCGGAAAGAGCAGGCACAACTAGAGGCATGAGAGTTCCCTTGAATGTGGGTGAGGGGACATGGCTCAACGTCGGGTGCTGAACACATCTTTCCAACAGTGTTCGCTTCTCCATTTTGCACCTTAGGGTAGGTGCGGTGGCTTCCACTGAAGTTGGGCCCCTAGTCTTCATGGCTACCCTTTCCATCTCAGGCCATGTCTGTCCCAGAAGGCAGGCAAAAGTTTGCTGACGTCACACAGTTTGGGCCTGGTGCCAAGTGGAATGCCACTGCCCAGAACTGGGCTCAGTCTCCAGGATGGTGACAGACCTTGTCTGTGGTGTCCAAGTCACACAGAGTCCTGGCTTAACAATGGATTGTATCAGCAGCTTTGAGAGGAGGTTTTTAAGTAATCCTGGGACAAGTCATAAAATTTTAATTGTTCTAAAAGAAAACTTATTCTTTGTATAAATTATTCTTTTGCCTCCACATGGCTATATTTCTCTTCCTTTTTCTTCTCCTTCATTCCTTTCTGCTATCTTTTGAATCTTCATGGGTTCTGTACTGCAAAGCAAGGTTCTTAACCTCTAATCCTTATTCCCCTGAAGTGAGACCTGCACCCTCTGAGGAAAGCACAAATAGGAACAGATACATGCAATTTTGCATGTGGGCTAAAATTCCCTCTTAGAGAAGTAAAGAGTACTCATTCTTGTTTTAGTCTTAAGAGATCAACCGAAGGACTTGTATGCATGCATATAAGCATAACCAATGGACGCAGAACTCTGGGGAGGGAGGGCATACATAGGAGGAGGGTGGTAATGGTAAGATATAATATAATTATAAAATATAAAAAGGTGCACATATAATACCTTAATAAAAAGAAGAAGAAGAAAAAAGAATCAACACGGAGCTTTTGCTGCCTGGTTTAACCTTGTGTGCTCAATGATGAGGGTTTCTAAGCATGTTTTTGTTTTGTTTTGTTTTTCTTATGGGCTTTCTTCAGAACTGCAAGCATTTGCTCACCATGGCCGTCCACTGCCAAGATTCCAGGTAACTTTATGCTTCGGGGAAGAGTTTCCGGATCCCCAGAGACAAAGGAAACTTATTACTGCTCACGTGAGTATTTAGTCACATCTAAATGATTGTCTCCCTATTTTTCACTAAGGACAGGGGTCTATTTAGAGAAGTATCATAAAGATAGGGAGGGAAGGCTGTAACCAGTGCACGTGCAGGGAGAGCAGCCCTGATACCGCATCCTGTTCCCAGTCCTAGAAATCTGCTCCTCAGAAAGGGAGCTAACTTCCAACCATTTCATTTGTCCCTTTTTTATTTTTCAAGAAAATTGTCATAGTTCCATTTTATAAGGATTTAAGAGAATTGATGCTAAAAGTTGCCCTTTAAAATTCTTCAGTTTAATATTGCAATCAAAAGGCTGTGTGATTTTCATTTAATGGAGTTTTCCCCAAATGTGTATTTTGTATCTTCTTCAAATGTTTCCCAAATCGTTTGATTTCTGGACTTTTGTTTTTAAAAAATTATAATTATTGGAAACAAGAGCCAAGTATTATTTGGAGGAATGCAGGGAGATCAGACCATTGTACATCCTGAGGCCGAATTTAAGATGGGTTCAACTGTGGCAAGTAAATGCCTGTTTTCATAAAAAGAAAGAAAAAGAGGTTTATATTGATAACATTAAGATTAATTTGCCACAAAAAAGAGTTTTGAATACTAGGACTTTTATATTTTAAAATTTTGCATTACTACATACCTTCAAGAGTTATTAATGGGCCCAAATAATGAACAGCGAAGGTAAAAATTATATCACATAATATAAAAATTAAGGTCATATTTTAGTTCTGATAATGTTTCTTATTGAAAACTGAAATAAAACACTATCTAATCTTAAACATACAGTCCCCCTTCTTGATTGTAAAATGAAAAACCAAACAACCAATAAACAAAAATGTAATCCTATGGGCTTCAGATGTTTCTCACGAATCCTCGCCAATGATTGGTATAATTTCTGATATAATCTTGTTAACAACTGGGATAGTTAAATGATGAACTAACCTGGGCATTGGTAAATAATATTTAAGAACTTGGTGACAAACTCCTACATCGATCTGACTTTAAGGGTTTTGGATGCGAAGACCCTTGAAATCACGTTGTACCCTGTGGTGCTGCAAAGGAGACGGGTTTGGGGGAGAGGTGCCCAGGAGTTCCTGTTCCTCTTATTATGGATTTAATTTATTTTGAGTTCTTCATATGAGTATGCTTAAGTTGCTGTTTATCAAATAACATAAAGGCTCAATTTAATAGCAGCATTGACTGAAAGCACTTGGTGTTTTTATATGCTGTAAATCTAGAAAAAGCTGAAAATTAAATTTTAATATTGAATGCAATCACATTAATAGACAAATTAGATTAATTTGGGAACAAGTAAATGTTCCCACAATAGCAGTTTTGTTGATGATTTTGCTTCTTTTTTTCTCTTTAATTAAGAAACACAAGATGGTCTAGGTCATCCTGGAATTGTAAGACTGTTCAGGATGATCCCCTTCATCCTTGTCATAGTGGCCTAAATTCACTAAATATGATCTCAAATTTCCTTTTTATTTGTTGCAGTTTTGGTTAAATGTAAATTTTTAATGACAGGTTATTTTAAAGTTTCATCTTTACTTTCAATTGAAACCCAGAATTAAGTAGATTCTGTTTAGAGTTGATGTATGGAAAGATGCCCAAAAATTAGTTCTTCAGAAGGCCCCAAGTATAAAAATTTTTATGTCTTATAGCACCTAACTTTGGACTTAACTTTATTACACTCTTACATATACTGAGTTACTTAATGGTAAGCCAATTACAAGATGATAAAAAGAATATCTTAGTAACGTCTTCTTCAAACCTTTTTAAAGGTTGAACCTCTACTGGCCAGACAGCTCTATTATTTCGCTCAGCAAAACAGTGGACACTTCCTAAGGGGCTATGATTTACCTGAACACATGAGCAGTCCAGAGGATTATCACAGGTCCATTCGCCACTCCTCCATTCAAGAATGAGAAACGTCCAGTGATTCTGCTTCATTGTAAATATCTGACTATGACAACACAGCTGATTGAACCCTCTTCATTTTTGTTGTTGTTGTTGTTGTTGTGTTTTGACAACACTTGAGAAAAATGTCAGCAGGAATATGTGTAGAAAATCAGCTCTATCTGATTGACAGACAAGCTTATTCCAAATGAACGGATGGTGGTCTTAATGGTCTCCCGTAGATTGCCAACATTGGTGATAACTGTGAAATTAACCAAAGGGTGTGTTTACATTCACTGAAATGCTATATTTTATTTGATGTGGATTATTTCTTGAAGACTGAGAAAACTTGTGTTTCAGTGTTGACCACTAATAGAGTGATCAAAGCACTTAAGTGTTGTATTATTTCTCAGGGAAGTAAAATCTGAATTTGAGGCTACTCTGCTCACAAAAGAAACAAATTAATACATGTGGGAGGTATTCCTGCTGTAGAAAATGCTTGCTTATAAAAAAAAAAAAAAAAAAAAAAAAAAGGAGTCTTTGACTGAAGTTGGGCCACAGTGCCTCCAGCTTTTGGGTGGCCCATCTCCCCAGCTGGCCTGGGTCTCACCCCAGGGTAGCCCCCCACTCCTGCCATTCACTCCCTGTTTGATTCCCTCTCAGGTGCCCCGAAAGCCAGTTGGTAGAATCTGTTGCTATCTTCTTGAGCCAAAAAGCATTAGGGCTACCCTTGAGTGGTACTTTTTTTTAAATTCATATAAAATTGCTACATAACATTATATATGTTTTAGGTGTACAGCATTCTAATTTGACATCTGTATGCACTACAAAGTGAGTGACCATCCTGAAAAGTCTAGTTAGCATGTTTCACCGCATAATTGAAACCCTTCATCCAATTCACGCCTTCGTCCCAACCCTTTCCTCTCTGGTAACCACCAATCTGTTCTCTGTCTATGAGTTTGTTTTTATTTGGTTGTTTTGTTTTAATATTCCACACATAAATGAAATGAAATGGTATTTGTCATTCTCCATCTGACTTATTTCATTTAGCATAATACCCTTAAGGTCCATCCATTGTTATAGTGCATGGCAAAATTTTAGTTTTTATCTTTTTTATGCCTAAATAATATTCATATATATATGAATATTCATATATATATTCATATATATATATCACATCTACTTTATCAATTTATACACTGATGGATACTTAGATTGTTTCCATGTCTTGGCTGTTGTAAATAACACTGCAGTGAACATAGGGAGATCACGTTTTTTTAAATTAGTGTTTTTGTATTTTTCAGATATATACCCAGAAGTGGAATTGCTGGGATATATGGTAGTTCTATTCTTAATTTTTTGAGGAATTGCCATACTACTTTCCGTAGTGGCTTCACCAACTTACATTCCCACCAAAAGTGTATAAGGCTTCCCTTTTCTCCAAATTCTCTGTGGCATTTTTTTATGGTCTTATTGATCATAGCCATTCCAACAGAAGTGAGGTGATATCTCATTGTAATTTTGTTTTGTATTTCCCTAATAATTAATGATGAACACCTTTTCATGTGCCTGTTGGTCATCTGTATGCCTACTTTGGAAAAATGTCTATTCAGATTATCTGCCCATTTTAAAAATCTGGTTGCTTGTTTTTATGTTACTGAATTGTATGAGTTCTTTATATATATTGGCTATTAACCTCTTGTCAGATATATAATTTGCAAACATCTTCTCCTATTTAGTAAGTTGCCTTTTCGTTTTAATGGTGGTTTCCTTTCACCTTGCAGAAGCTTTGTAGTTAGATGTAATCAATTAGTTTATCTTTCCTTTTGTTTCCCTTGCTTTTATATTTGGATCCACTGGGGTACTACATTTTCATCTGTCCTACAACCTAGTAGTGATTGATTAAGATTCTTTTGTTCTTAGTCATATTTTGTAGAAATTGTTGCTTAAATTGTTTTTTCTTAAAGAGGAAAAAAACAACAACAACAAAAAACACACTCCACAATCCAAGTACTAAAGTTATATTTTGAGAACTCAGTGACATTTCCCCTCTTAGCCTCTTTGTTTTGTTTGGCTATCAGCGAGTTATCCATGACAACACTAAGAGAAGGAGCCAGTGCTTTTCAATTTGGTGAACTCTGTTATGAAAAATGGTGACGGACTATCACGGGTTGCATAACTGCAGACTCAGTGGGCTGTTTTTGCTTATTTTGTATATTATATGCTTCCTCATGCCAATAATGGTTTGACATGTTCATCATTAATTATTAGGGAAATACAAAACTGGGCTTTTTTCAAATACATCTTTTTATAGAATCACTAAGATATACACTTACTTGCATAAGCCTGACCACTTGTTTGTTTTTGAAAAATTACAGATATTTAAACATCCAATATTTTGATCAAGCTACAAAACAATTCCTGTTACTCTCAGGCTCAGCAAAGGAGTTGGTAGTTTTCAAATACATGCCACTCTTGCTTTAATCTATACTTTTTATCATTAAACAAACTGTATATACCCCTTGCATTAGAGAGAGATTGTAGCATTTCTCCAGTTTAGTAAGCAATGAAGCATTGAAGATGTCATTTCTTTTTTTTTTTTCATTTCTAAAAGAAGTTTTAATGATAAAAATAAATTATATTAACTACAGAAAATGTAAACAGTTCGAAAGGGCAAATCCTCATCCCTAGAGGTGTCCATAGGAAGAGCTTGACTTACTCTTCCAACATATTTCACTTTTCTATAAATACACATAAACTTAAAAACTTATGGATTCACAGTGCACCTACTATGTGCACCCACTGTGTGCTCCTCTAATGCAGTCATGCAGGTTTACCTCATTCCCTGCAAAGCTCTGCTGTAGACTCCACCACAATGTAGTCAGTAAGTCCCAGGTATTTTGCCAGTCAGTTCCAATGAATACCTGTGGGCAGCAAATTGTGTTTCTCATGAATCGCGGTGATTTATTCATCTTATAGATGCTAAGTGTTTGGGATATATTATCCTCAGCAGTAAATGAAGAATTTACAGACACCACTGTGACACTGGCCTGAGTGGGGCCCTCCTCTCCGAGAGCAGTGAACCCCAAGCTTCAAGAGGCTCTGTGGCATCTCCCCCAGAGCTGTAGCTTCTTAGTTTTCCAAGTAGATGCTTAGTTTCAACCCCTTGTGAGAATTATTTTCTTCTTTTCCTTTTCTATCCTTTAAAAAAATACTAATCTGCTTTAACATGGGAGTTACAGTTTTTTTGGAAAATGCTGTTGGTTTAGGCCATTTCCCTCCTCTCCCATTAATAAACTCAACTACGCTTAGTGTATTTTCAAGGGATCCAGAGTATGGCTAGTGAATGAACCAATTATAAAATATTCAGTGTGAAGACTCCTAACAGTTGGCTGCGGACTTTGAAAAGGAATGGCTTCCTCATTCCCTGACTTGATAAAATGGGATTAACAAACCAGAACAAGCTAGTTTGTTGTCAATGAAAGATACTGTAAAAGAGTTTAGGTACTTGGACTGTGTCCCTGGCTAGAGTTGCCCAGTTGTTAGAGCATTGGTCTGTACACCTAAGGATCCTGGGTTTGATTCCTGATCAAGTGCACTTACCTGGGTTGAAGGTTCATCCCTGGCCTTGTGAGGACATGTGTGGAAGGCAACCGATCAATGTGTTTCTCTCACATCGATGTTTCTCCCTCTCTCTTTCTCTCTCTTTCCCCCATTCTTCCTCCCTTCCACTCTAAAATATCAATGGGAAAATATCCTCAGGTGAGGATTAACAAAACAACAACAACAACAATATATTGGCTTGCAGCAAAAAAATATTTGTTTCACAGATGTATTTTCTTGGCCTACTTCTTGTTCTTGGAATTTAGTTAAACTAGGCAGTAATTGATGTTTTCTGGAAAACTTTAGAGAACCAGGGTGACCAACTCATTTCAAACAAAAAAACTTGAGTCTGAGACAAAACAGGACAGTTATTCACCCTCTGGAGAACCCAGGAAGAGGCTGCTCCACTGGGGGAGAATATTTCAATTCTAAGTGGGATGAGCAGCACGACCATGTGGTTATCACAGGAGCACGGGGCTGTCAGGTTTGTGTTCAGAGAAAGGTGTGCACTGGGCTGAGGCATGGTCAGGTTTTCATCCCAGTCACTACATAGAGGCCCCAGAGCAGGACCAGCTCTGGGAATCTTAGGCGGGGTCTGGTATGGACTCTGTCTGAGAAGCTGAGCAGTGGGTGGGTAGATTTGAGAGGCAAGGATCACTCCCACACCAGGGAAGTTAAAAAATTATTTTAGGGCATCAGCTATTTTTTAGTAAAATGCAGACACATTTCAAACCCCCCTTTCATTCCTCTTTGATCACATTTCTTCCCTTTCTCCACTGATGAGCATTTTTCTGAAAGCTGTGAGCTTCCCTAGGGCTATATTTCTATTAAACTGTTATCTCCCTAAGTGGTTTTTAGCTGACAGATGTATGGCACACCTAATGCAACATTTAAATAGATGGGTAAATGTTGCATTGGTGCTGTTCTGCTACCTAGATTGTTCTGCAGCTTGCTTTTCTCACATTGCTGTCTTTGAGATCAATCCATGTCAATGCAGGAGGATCTCCTTCATTGCTTAACTGTTGTTGAATAGCAGGTCCACATGAATGTAATGAAGGTCAAATTTCCTGGTCTTTATTTTCATTTCTTTTTTAAAAAAGCAAAGGGTAGCTAAAGTGGAAGAGAAGAAATGTGGAAGACAGAAGAAAGGCCAGTAGGCCAAACCACCTCCATATAAACTCATATTTTGCTTTAGACTATTTGGAATAGAAGGTAGAGGGGTTCATGCTCCTGCACTCCTGGTTTAAGGGTGGATAGGACCAGATGGCTTCTAAGATTCAGCCCAGTGTTCTGCTGGTTCAGTTTTGTGGCCAAACATCCCAGACAGGGGTGTCTTGAGAACGAGGCTGATCATTCTGTGGACAATGATTGTACATAATCGTGCCATAAATGTTGGTGTAAATTGCTTTTTAACTCAGATTTATATTTGTGATAATTTGATGTTTTAAGCAGTTGATAAATAAAGACATTTTTAAAAAATGATGTTATGGGACATGTATGTTATTAAACACTCATCTTGATAGCTATTTATTTATTTATTCTTTATTTAATTTTATTGATTTTAGAGAGGAAGAGAGATGCAGAGAGAAATGGAAACATCAATGATGAGAAAGAATCATTGATAGGCTACCTCTTGCATGTCCCCTACTGGGGAACAAACCTGCAACCTGGGCATATGATCTTGACCAGAATGGAACCAGGCACCCCACAGTCTACCAGCTGGTACTCTATCCACTGAACCAAACTGGTTAGGGCTTGATAGCTTTTTAAATACTTCCTCCTTCTGGTGCATTTTTTAGCAAGGTTGCTTTGGTAGCCTGCTTCCTTCCTGGTTGTCATATGTGTCCTTAAAATCAGATTTTAAAAATCACTTTAAAATGACACACACAAAACTTGTCCTAGTGTTGGGCAGCTCCTCCAGCCCAGGAAACACATCTGAGGAGAGTGTGACCATCCTTCCTTTTCCTCGCCCTCCTCTCCCTTAACAGGACTAGTGGACTCAATGAAATCTATACCACAGCTCCTTTGATTTTGTCCTTGTTGTTAAAGGAGAGAATAAAGGGGAGTGGCTAACTGGTACCCTGAATGTGAAATGTAATAAGAACTGTGGGTGGAAAAGGGCACACGCATGAGATGGAGCCCCTGTGGCCTCTGTCTGCTGGTAACTTGTCTCTGTGCAGCCAGCAAAGGGTCCACCTTTCTCAGTCTATATATTGATACGTCTCATAGGAACCCAGCCCTTCAGCCCTATTAAATGCTGAATAGTCTGTAAGAACACCAGAGAGAGACTGCAGCTAAAGATTGCTCTACGCTGTCAGAAATGTTGGTAGCATGCAACTAGGAGGCCCAGAATGCTAACTAAATAGAAATAATGAGGAAATAAAGGATCATACTACTTTAGGGGCTCTATCTGC